CAATAATAGCATCCAGCTCCCCCTCCTTCTGTCAATCTTTCTTGCAGTTGTTGTCATTTTTCCCAAACATCAAAGTCTTCTCCAATGATTCTGTCCTTGGCACGTTGTCTTTCATTCTTAGCAATCTGATTCATTTTACCTGGTATTTATTCTTCTTGTAGCTCAAGTTATTTCAGAAGTTTTTTAACCACACCATCTTTCATAAGGCATTATTTTTTCTTCATTCTATTTTGTGGTGATTCATTTCTATCAGGCATATCTTATAGCTTAGAAAATCACGTACTGAACATTACTTTTGTATTTAATGTGAAGCCTCTGCACTTCAATATTTCCTCATAATCCTTCTCTCAAGTAGCAGATAGTCTTTCTTTCATTACCACAATTGTCATCCAACTAAATATTTAAGTCCAGGAAAATAAACTTTTTTACTGTTTCAGTATCTTCACCGTTTACCTGCTTTGGGATGGTTTTTCTATTAACATAATCTTAGATTGTTGGATGTTGTTTTTAGTTTAAAAAAACTTTTAACTACCTGGCTTTTGCAGTGTTTTCTTTTACATTCATTATTGTTTTCAGCCACCCAAGTAATATTTCCAATTTAATTTATTTTTATTAATTATTTCTTCCAGTGATTTTAATTTCAGTTTCTTCTATTCCAGCATTTCCAAGATATGTTCTGCATGTAAATTAAATATTTGGTGGCAATATACAGCTTACACATTTTCTTTTCCAAATTTTTAACATAATTGAGGTGCTTCATATTAAAAAAACTCTGTTGATTCCTAGGCATCATGCATATTTTTTAATAGGGAGTTATTTTAAAGACTATTGACAATTTATTGTGGCTTGGACATCAAAAGCCAAATTAAAAATAAACATTTAATGTTTCATTCACAGTGCGGAAGTCCAAAAGTATATTCTCATAGAATATTACATATAATGCCTTGTGATTTTTTTAAATTTTAATTTGTTATAATTTACATCCCACCATAAAAAGATAATTAGAATAAAAGCTAATGAGCATGAAATTCTCATTAAATTCAGGTCAGTCTAATTCATAAAATCCTTTAAAAAGGGAAAACCAAACTCTTTCTATGAAAGTAAACTTTTTTTGACAAACCCTTTCTGTAGAGAGAATTTATTAAATCGAAAAGCAACTTCTGGAATTAATAATTCCTGTGTCCTAGTGATCCTCAAAAGACTCTTTGCAGAAAACCTCAAATCACCTTGTAGTTTGGTAAGGGAGGCATTGGAAGAAATGTTCTTCAGTTATCCAGGTTGCACTACAAAATAGATTTTAGAATAGAAAAGCATAAAACAAAAGTGATATTTTAAAACTGAAATTAAATGATAATTGGTACAATTCAGAACTGGAGTAATGGATCCTTCAGATCCTTCGGAACATCACTTCTGTATTCTAGGACTTTGATCATTTTGAATGTATTTCGAAGTTATACTACTGCTAGGGGAGCTGCACTTCTGCCCCAGTGATCAGGTTGTTGAAATTCTAGTACTATTAAGTAAGTGGAAGTTTATTATTCTCCTGTGCGCTGCTTGGAGAGTCCAAGCATGGGTTAAATTCTGACCCTCTGCCCAAGGACTGGATTGAATTGTTTTGGCTACGCTTCCTGGTCTCCTCTTGAGGTCAGTTTTTCAATTCAGTCCAGCCCTTAAGGAGATATTCTAGAGTGTCTCCTATATTTTATGGTTTTTTTGGTTCATGGTATTTTTTTCCTTTTATTTCTTTGGCTTGGAATTGGTTAATTAGGTTTTTTTCCTTTACAGTAACTTACCATTTCATTTTGTCCCTGCGAGAGCCGACTCCATTGGGGAGTACCTGCTCTGCCACTTGTCCTGAGCTAAGCTCAGACGCTGGGAGCGGTCTCCTCCCGCAAGGTTCTACCGCCAGGATGGTCCGACTTGTCGACCCATGCGGTGAGACCCATAGTTGTTTTTTTTTCTTGCCGCGGCTGCTAGCTTTCCCTTCTTGCAGCTTTGGCCATATTGGGCCTGGCCATTTTGGAGTGGCCATTTTGCAGCAGCCATTTTGTTGGGGGTGCGCGGCAGTTCTCCCGGACATTTGGCACCGGTACTCTTTCTGTGCGGCAGCAACGAGGCGCTCTCCAACACAGTGCTCTTCTGAGGCCAGACAGAGGGACAAACGCAGCATGTTATTGGAGGCCTTGGCAGCAGCCCCCCTCCTCGAGCCTCCTTGCTGCACGGGTGATTTGGAGCCCCTCTCAACCTGGAGGTGCCATGTCCTTTAGGCACGGCCCTGCTCCTCGCTCCAGGATTGGCAGGAGGAACACCCAACACTGCACGTGCTCCTTTTTCGGCTGTCGGACACTTGGGCAGCTCCGGATTTTGGCGAGGGCAGACCTGGAGATCTGGGAGGAGCCAGAGGTTTTGGGACCTTCTCCCAGCCAGCAGGCCAGACCCTTCCTTTGCAAGGTGGGCAGAGTGGCTAGGGAGGCCACCAGGGGTTCCAGATCCCAGAGACCCTATGCTAGGGAGGCTTCCAAGGGGCAGGAAAAGCAGTTTCCCAGGGCCCTGAGGCAAACTGTAGCCCAGGTCCAACAGGAGGGCCAGCTGGGTTCCCCAGTGGGGCAGGGGCCTATCCAGTTGTGCCAGGTCTCCTTGGCTAGTGAGAGGGATCCACAGGGTTTTTCCTCAGACGGCCTTTCCAGGGGATCCAGATCCCCCTCTCCCTCCTTGGGGGAGGATGCGGACCTATTTGATTGTAGAGGCTTATCAGATGGGGAGGTTAGTCTTTCTGTCCCATCAGCTAGAGCAGTGTTTTTCAACCTTGGCAACTTGAAGATGTCCGGACTTCAACTCCCAGAATTCCCCAGCCAGCATTCGCTGGCTGGGGAATTCTGG